TATACAACGAAAGGAGACTGCGACCACACAAAAGGCCACACCATCTTGGTCTTCATACCTTCGTTTATAGTGGAGGTTGTTGGACTGTGAGAAAAAGTTGATGGCTTGCTATCCTGATGAATCGATGCTGAGCTCCCCTGTCATGTGACAGGCATAGTCAGAAAATAAACCACCTTTAAAGAAAAAACCACTGGCACACTAAGCTAAGAAAAGTGGGAAAACGGTAAATCAAGGACTTAGGAAAACCAGTATTCTCTACTCCGAGGAAATCATAGTCGGTTTGCTGGTGAGGCAAATTTAAGAAAAGCTTTAATTCACATTTTTCTTCAAAATAGATAATCGAATAAACCCAGCGTATATTCATAAGTACAGTAATGATTTAGAAAAAAATAAGTCGCCAAAATTAAGTGAAAATGTTTCCTTTTAAGAAACTCAGCAAAATTGGATACGAAAATCAAGGATGCCAATGGCCTCCCTAATCTTCCGTTTCTCTGCATGTATCCCTTCTTTCTGTTGCCTTCCAAATGATCTCGCGTCCAGTTTATGTTATGTGTTCCGCTATATATGATCTTTCGGTATCCATTGTACTGCAGAACCTTTGATGTTTCTTGATTCGTATGTTGATTTTTCTCCCTGTTTCGCCAATATATAATTCTGTTCGCAGGAACCGCATGTTGTGCACTAAAATCTCGAGCAATCCAATTTATTCATTCCTTCAAGTTGTGTAAGTAGGCATGCCAAGAGTGTTGTTTTTTCGTGGCCACCGGAATATTCCAAATTCTTAATATTGGCCAAAGCTTTTGAGACACTTCATTTTTTTAAGCATTTTTCCATCTTTCCTTTTCTTTCTAACTAGTGAGGCATTCACTCATCTTAGTGAGTGGAATATGAACAAGCCAGAAGTTGTGATAGAGCGAGAGTTAGACAAGAGGGTAGAGAGTAGATAGAGGGCCAGTACAGGAAAAATGATAGCACAACCGTTTCGGCAGAAAGTTGGTCAAGGGATTGACTTCGCTTGTCTCTTTGACCAGTTGTAGCCTGGTGCTTAGACTGGCAAGACTCACTGACGAGGCCGATTACGATGCAAGCGAAACGTTTGAGAATCTACCAAATCTGCGGTCCGACGCTTGGGAATAAATACTATAGCAGAGGACTTCAGACGAAGTGCGTCCAACTAAGTCTCTTTGATAGCACGACCAAATTGCGAAAACGAGGCCGGACTACAAAATTGGATTTAGAACAAAAACTAAAGCAATTCAGATATACAGAGGATAGCCTAGGCCACACAGATTCCCATTCCTTATGACGCAAATTAATGCTTCTATTTGTTACTGTCAAAGAAATTTTAACTTACCTTTCTAAGGATTTCATGCACACCAAAAGCCAGCTTTGCTTTAATTCGTTAATCATATCATCTAGCTCAGCGTGGTCCGCTGTCGGTGCTCGATCTCGGGTTCGCCGGGCTTCCCTTCGAAGAGTGTCGAAGAGAATATTCTTGGCAGCCAGCTGTTGCTGAAAATCACGGTGCCGTGAAAGCTGGTGACGCAAGGTTTCCGCTCGGGTTCCTATGAGACTTGCATGCTCATCTAATTGATCCGACTGCTGCCGTAGCCAAGATACCAGCTCAGTCCATGCAGAATGGAGGCGGTGAGCTTCCTAGAAGGCAGAAACAGATACAAATGGAATAACGAATAAAATGACCCAAAAAGAGAAGGCTGATTGGTCTAAAATGGTCTGCTAAAGGCGCTCAGAGTAAATGAGATGGAAATGACAGGTTATAGGCTAATAGGTAAAAAATAGGAGCAACAAGAAATCCTTGAATGTATAAGTTTGATTAAATCTATTTTCCATTAAATAAATCCTAAAAGTATTACTATAGAATGCAATTAATTATAATCAAAGTACAGAAAAGTCGTCATAACCAAAACAATCCTCTTACCACGGAATTATCTATGCTAGGGGATCAAAACATTCTTTATGGGAGATTTTTTTTCAAATATGGTGACTCTTTTGCCTATATCCCGAAGTGAGAGATAAAACCAAATCAATTATTTTTTAGTCTAAGCCAATCGTGAGGAGATTACGTTCAGAGAAGGGAAAGTATATAAGCACATATGCACATGCTCTATAAATGTAATGAGATGAAGATTTGCATAATTCAACCAAGCTAAGAAAAACAAATATGGGTTCCTGAGCTAGGTCTAAATCAAGTAGATAATGTATATGGATTGTAACAGAAAGAGATAATCTAAAAACGTGTGAAGTAGGAGTCCAAGGCAATAGGGATTGCATGTTCTCAAAGGATCATGAAATATCCAAAAAAATCCAGCCTCTTATTCAAGCCACTAGTATGGAATGGGTTACGGTCGTCCTAAATTAGCTGGTAAGGGTCTATCAAGAAAAGGTAATGTTTTTGCTTGTAAGTGACGAGCTAGTTCAGAACATTGATTAAATATGAACCTATAGGATCCTAGCCGCCTGCACATC